CATTACAAAAAGAATATTATTTTTTTGCTGTTTGTGAACCAATTTAAGAAATAGTATTATATTATTAAGCTTCCGCAATTATATAATAAATATGTTCAAAATTTAATGATGCAGCATTGGTGCGGCCAGCCTATGTCCACCCAAATTAACCTTGAACCACGAATTCGCTGCTCTATCGCATCTGTATGTAGGTGATCTGTGTTACTAATAGTCGATAACCCGCATGTGTTACTACACTGAAAAAGTGAGTACATTTTATTTTATTGCGAAGAAATGGTTCAAAAATCTGCACCTGTCACATTTGACAGTTGACACCTGTCATTCGTGGTCTAAAACCTCCTTCTCATTATCAGGTCTGTTTTTGCAGAAATCACAAACCAGTCAGAGTGAATTTCATTGGTTGAAACTAGTTTTCTGACTGTTATCAACCAATGAAATTCGCTCTGACTAGTTTCTGATTTCTCCAGAAACAGACCTAATGCCTTTCCTATTAAACTGGTTTAGGGCATATCGGTCGGATGGTTTCAAACGAACATACATAGAAACATTTTTTGTGTTTTATATATAGGGTGGTCCAAAAAAAACAGGAATTTTGTTCTTGAGCTGTAACTTTTTTTTTTGTTGACCAATTTCCTTTTGTTTTGGCTTGTTTGAAAAAGAATTAAACAAGCGATGAATCAAAGTGAAACTTTTGAAGTTTGAGAAAAATTCAAAATGGCGGACGTCTTCAAAAATTACCTAGTTTTGGATTTAAGAAGGTGAAATTCGATCTTTCGAAAATGATGAACTTCAAGAATTTATTGAAAAAAGTTATGCAGGGGGTCACGAAAAAGTTCCAGCGCTATCCAAAGCTGGGTAATTTATGAAAAAGTCCGCCATTTTGAATTTTTCTCAAATGTCAAAAGTTTCACCTTGCTTCTCTTCCAAACAAGCCTAAACAAAAGGAAATTGGCCAAGAATAAAAAAAGTTAAAGCTCAAAAACATTCCGTTTTTTTTTTGGCCCACCCTATATAAAGATTTGTTAAAAAATATATATATACTTAAGTAATGGTTAACTTCAATCTTAATTTAAGTACCTATATTGGGTATTGAGTTAGTAGCCACATTTTGTGCCTCCACTATAAAATAAAATAATAATATGAATAAATATGTAAAACCTAGTTAAAATCCAAGTTCAATATGCAATTGATATTCTTGTTTTTTTTTTTTTTTTCTAATAATACATATTGGAAATTATTGTGTAAATTTTTTAGATTAGATTTGAGCAATTATTGTCCAGCACTGTTAATATAAAATTATTATTCTCTATGCCAGAGCACTGATTAAAAAAATGTATGTATGAATAATAATGTACCTATTGTTATATGAATAAAGATTGTCTTCAAAAAAAAATGCACTGACTGCAAAACCAAAATATATCTGTTGCATAAAACGATTCCTACAAAAACGGCAAGTAATCGTTTTGTTGTTGATAATAAAATTGTTCTCGCGAACTCGTCATCAGACATATTGATAATTTTTTTCAATGATATCCACATTCTACAGGAGTCGAGATTATTTGTCTATGAATAGTAAATTTCAAGTTGATAATTCTATTTTCTTGACACTATTTAAGTATCTCCAATTTCCTAAAAATAGTAGGTATTTAATTATGATTGGCTCACTTGTATGAATAGAGATTATACAAATTTTAAATTATAGGTCAAGTAAAATTTTTAAAATAGAACAGTGCAAAATTTTCAATCAAAAATATACGAGGACCTTGACTAATACCTTAACAATGACTAATACATGATTAAATAAACCAATTATAAATGCAATTAAAACATTTTTAATGACAGCTGATTTCATAAAAAATCTAGATAAGAGTTAAGTTATAGAAAAGCACCTATTGCGATTTTTGTTTTTTTTTTAAAAGTAGATCATTTTGTTGTTTGAATAATCAGTATTTCGAAAAAAAAGTGTGATAATACTACAACCTAGCAATTACTCAGAAAGCCTGGTATAAAAAATCTAGCTTTTGAGTGCATTATTTGTTATGTGATCTACCTTCATTTAGCCCTTCTTAGGGCCATTTTCTCAATAGCCAGTCACCTCCGGGTTAATTTTAACTCCAGGTTGAATGTGTCCCCAGTTGCAATGTTTTCCCTGGAGTTAATACTGCAAAAATAATTATGAAACATTTTTGCAATTGTGTATCGGCGGCTGGTATTGAATAATTTTGAACCATTGAGAGAATTTCATAAATTATTATATAAGCATTTCGATAGAGCATTCCCCTTAAGAGTTTTAGAAAAGAAAAAGAAAATTGATAAGCCTTGGTTCACAAAAGGCATAAAGATATCAGCAAAAAACATTAGATCACTGCACTATATTAGGAAGTTTAGTATGAATGGATTAGAACAATCCACTATTTATTTCTTACTTTAATAAATATAGGAGGATATATAGAAAAACAATCAGAATAGCCAAGCAGAACTATTATCATGATAGAATTGCGGGATCTAAGAATATACAAAGGGAAACCTGGAAGATCGTTAACGAGCTTCGGGGGAAAGGTAGTAAATGTGAAGATTCAGGGTCTAAACTTACATCAGCCAAATTAAATGATCTTATTGTAATGTTGCAGGAAGTTTGTCTTCCCAAATTCAGGCTACTTATGATCATAGGTATTTCTTAAGGTATGAACCACCCTCGGGGTCCTTTTTTCTTGCTCCTACTGACATATTCGAAATAAATACTATATTTAAGGACATCAAATTAAATGCTGCGTCGGGTTGGGACGAAATATCAATAAGGTTATTTTTGAAACTTCCTATGCAAGCTCGTGAGGTTTTGGTGAGTTGCATAAACCACTCATTTTGTACGGGGGTATTCCCCACAAGCTTGAAATTGGCAACAATAATTCCAATATTTAAGGGGGGTGATGAGGAGTGTCCCTCAAATTATAGACCTGTGGCACTATTGCCAACGCTTGGCAAAATAATTGAAAAGATTGTTAAGAAGCGTGTTGTTGGATACTTAGAAAAAAACAACATTCTAGCGCAAGAGCAGTTTGGGTTTCAGACCTCCAAGGGGACTAGTGAAGCCATTTTCTCGTTTCTGGAATCGCTGCACCTGAATCTTAACCATGCTGATGTGGCAGCAGCGGTTTTCTGTGATCTGTGAAAGGCATTTGACTGTGTTGATCATGGAAAATTGTTGTGGAAGCTGCAATCATACGGATTTAGAGGAAACTCTCTCAACTGGTTCGAGAGTTATTTGTCAGGCAGGACACAGAGGGTCTCTTTTGATGGTTCAATGTCTGGCGAGCAAGTGTTGAATTGTGGCGTTCATCAGGGTTCTGTTTTGGGTCCAGTTTTATTTTTGTTATATGTCAACGACTTCGCAGGCCTTGATATCTCTGGAAATTTTACTTTGTTTGCTGATGACGCAACAATATTGTGGCATAATTCTGACGGCTCTAGATTACGGGATGCGGTCAGTAATGACATAGGTGTGATTAAACACTGGTGTGACGCTAATGGGCTGACGTTAAATATTTCTAAAACAAATGTAATGAATTTTAGATGTAACCTTACTGACATCTGTCTGAATGACAGTTTATTAAGTCCATCTGTGGAAAATAAATTTTTGGGTCTCTGGATAGATAATCGTCTGAAATTTGAAGCACACTTGAAGTGTTTGAGGAATAGGTTGGCATCTAATTGTTTTGCACTTAGAGTTATTTCTAGGGAACTGGGACCATGTATTGCCAGAAATACTTATTTTGCTCTGATAGTCTCATTTGAGGTATGGGCTGTGTTTCTGGGGTACTTGCTCTAAGCCGTTATTTAATGGCATTTATTTACTGCAGAAGAGAGCAATTAGATATTTATGTGGAGCCAACCCACATGATTCTTGCAGGCCGCTATTTATTTCTAAAAATATTTTGACTCTCCCTGCATTATTTGTGTTGGAATCGGTCTGCTTAATTCACAGGAAACAAAAGCAGTATATTCATATCGCATATAACCTATAATACTCGACAGAAAAATGATGTTAGCCTTCCTATACCCACGTCCAGCCAGGTAAGGGACTCTATCATTTTCAGAAGTCGCAAGTTGTTCAATCATTTGCCGTCGGGTCTTAAACAAATAAAGACTGAACGACAGTTTCGTAGGGGCGTCAAGGCGCTGCTTGCCCAAAAGACATATTACGAAATTGATGAATTTCTGGCTGACAGGTTTTAGATTTTTTTTTCTGGATTGTTCTGTTTGTAGTGTGCGTTATAGTTGTTAATTTGTTTTATTGTTCAAACTTCTGAGTCCGTTGTCTATTTTTTACTTTTTTTATTTTTGTTTTATTTTTTAAAGATGACTGAAAACGACTGATTTTTAGTTTTTAAGGCAATAATAATGGTAGATTGTGAGAGGAACAGTATTGTTGCAATGTAGTACTTAAGGCATTTAAAAGATTTTTTCTCATGTTATGATTATGACATAGTATAAGTACTGATGTTAGTTAATAAGGCTGCTTTGTCAATAACAATTTAGTTGAGACAATAAAGCATAATTTGATTTGATTCAACTCGGGGGTGGCCTGCTATTGAGAAACCAGCCCCTGAGTTTGTTTAATGTGTCTAGCCCCTCTGAAACCTAGAAATAGAGTTCAAAAAGGCTAAATACTGAAGTTTTTGAAAAATTTACCAAATAGAGCATATAGAACATAATTGCCAGACAAAATAACATTTCTAGCCAATACTAGAACAAAAACCTCAAAATCTGAAGAAACTGCCTTTAGAGACATGAAAATGTGATTGTACGCAGCTGAAAAATTAATGAAAGAGGAACAAAATTTGAAAACTGGTGCTATCCTATATGATGTATGTTCATGGGCATTCATGGCCCACAACACAAGGCCGAGGATCTTTCTTACAATGAGCAATTCTTCCTTCGCTAAATTAGTTAGTTTCTGAGGTGATAGCTTCAGGAAGGCGGAGGAAAGAAACAAAACTTACCTTTTGGTCACTGCATGTCCATCATTTTGAGCCCTGGCCACAGTGTCCCCATCCTTTTCTACTGTAAGTACTGTAGCAGCAGCAGTGGGCTGTTGCTCGTAAAGCGGGTTCTCGTTTTGGGCCATTTTCCACCCGGATTCAGCCTTTTATCACTTGGTTTTGTCTAAAAATCTCAAATTCGAACATACATACAACCTCTTCTCACAAACTTACTCAATGGAATGAGGTCCGAATGGATACGAATGATAGGATACAACAAAATGGATGATAGATGACGGATGACAGAAGACCAACCGAACAACTGTTTTCCTTTTATACATCGAGTTACACTGAACGTGTCGCTCTAGAGCTCCTCAGAGTCACTCCAAAACACTCAATTCAGATATTATCATTATTCTTAAATATAAGGTCAGTTTCTGCACAAATTATAAGCCAGTCAGAGTGAATTTTATTAGTCGAAACTAGTTTTATGACTGTTTTCAACCAATGAAATTCGCTCTGACTGGTTTGAGATTTCTGCGGATCCATCAACATTACCTAAAAGGGCCTCTTGCACCCACCGCAAATATGGTGCATCAGGTGAAAGGGGATGCACTATGAGCGACTCGAGTGCTTAACGCACTTTTAAAGCCTATACTCATAACTGCGAAATTCGCTCTTTTTTTGACATTGCTAGGCTGTGGTACTAGGCTGTAAAAGGAACGTTCAAGCTTTTGACATTGAGCAGCTCCGAGTAGCCCAACGGGTGAAAGAATTACAGTTAATCGTGTAGTGTTGATCCCGGATGATCCGGCCTGACCCACTACCATCTATACGACAGCGTCTGAAAAAGCAAATTAAAAGTTATCATGGAACGACCAAAAGAAAAGTTAAATGTAATTTTCTTACAGATTTTTATATTTTGTGACTGTGTTCAAAATTCAATTAGCCGTCTTATTTTTTATTGACTCTTCAAAATCCTATAGTTCATATTGAAAACAACGCCATCCATCATAAAAAATTGAAAACAACGTATTTGATGTACCTTACAACAAGGTTTACCTAATAATAGTCATCAAATAAGTACATACGTTGCTTTCAATTTTTTATGATAGAAGTCCATTTAAATCCTATAGATCCATATTCAAAATTAGCAAGAGGTAAGCCACAAAATGGCGGCAAGACCCCTATCACCACTTTGTAAAGATTTATTAAGTCCAAGGATAATACACACTACTACTATAGGATAGCCTATCCTCATAAGGCCTGTGTGGAACAAATCACCAGTTGTGACGTAGGCAGCATGTCCTTTCTCGCCTTGACGTTCTGGAATCCCCGTCCATTAAATATTAATGACCTCACTGGCGCATTTAAAACGTCATTCAGTACTGAATCAGTGTGTACTGAAAATAATATCGGAACGGCGTCCCAGTAAACTCATGGCGTATTCGACTACCCAGCGCTGGCTCCGATCAAGTTCGAAAAATGATGGTGCAGTTGCACTGAAATCTAGAGCGGGTATGTGGCGATTCGATCGCGTGCTGGGTCAGTGCGAATTGTCAAAAAAAGTGAACTGTCGTCGTGAAAATCCGAGTTGAAGCGCTCGTGTGTGCCCCATTATTGCACTTCTTCGATTGCGTTTACTTTTTCTCCAATTTCACCTAACCTCAAAGTTCAAATTGATAAATTTTGAAATTTATTCTCGATCCAAATAGTTTTGAATCTTCGGTCTCTTTTTAGGAAAACTAAAAGCCATAAGTAATTCATCATCATCACTTTCTGAGCTACTGCTACTACTACTATTGATAATACATCTGCAGCTAATAATAACAACAATTTCCTCTTTTTATTATTGATATTTCACAAACTTTTTTGTAAACAAATATTCAAAAATGCAAAATAAATAATTAGAAAGACAAAAGACGGATTGAAAATTTGAGGTTATTTTTTCAAAGAATCCAGTGCAATCTACTTGAACCGCCAAAAATTACAGTTCCAAAAAGTTCGAACGTTGGACGAACCACGCTAACAATCCGAACATAAAGTATTGCTCTGCCCGCGCTTAGCTCGGGTAGTCGACCACGAGAAATGTTTACTCGCTTATGAGCTGAATCAACCCGAACATAAATTATTGCACTGCAGTCGCAAAATGCGAGCCGAGTGCGCACTAGTGCCGGTAGTCGAATACGCCATCAGTACTGACAGTTGATACCGGAACATAGCCTTAGTTATGACGTGGGAAATGGTGACTCACCTGTTGTTGCATCAGTTTTTTGCCGGTGATTTCCCGACCGACATTGCAAAAATAGTTGTTAAAATGATTGGCAAGATCTGCATCGTTATTTATGAAATTGGTATCTTTGTTATTTTTTAATTGTTTAATACTTTCTTGTTGTGTATACTGTTAATTTTTTTTTTCCGCTATTCCATAATTTATGTCTAAATGTTTGCTTTGTTTCACTTAAGTTAAATTGTCCCTGCATTTTAAAATTGCTGACGCTTTTCCGATTTTTTGGCATGTTTTTATAAAGTTTATTTTTCTGTTCAATTGATTTTATTAGGTCTGTTGTTATCCAGTCTTTTCTTCAATTTCGTGCTTTTTTTTTCTGTGGAGAATCTTTAATGGTGTTTTTTAATGTTTTAATGTTTTAGGTAAAAATATCGTGTCAAGAATTTTTTTTTGTTTTGATACATTTTCCTAGTCCTTTGTTCAAATTTAAGTTTAGGTTGATTTTTGTTTAAAATGATATTAGAAAGTTCTCGTGCCTCAAACGCTACGTTAATACAGTACCGCTAACAATACGGTATTTTATAGTTCTCGGACACGAAGACACAAAAATCCTCTAATCCCTTAATTCTGTTTACATTTTGACAGCTGTATTGAGTGATCTAACCCAACTTTTTTTTGCTTGTTTGCCAACTTTTATTTATTCTGAAGATTCCTGAGTTTCATTAATTTCCCGTTGGTGTTTTTTATGAAGGAATTATTAGAGATTGCTGTTCTTGCAACATAAATGGAGCGTGAACTAATTTTGACATAGCATAGCGTTACGGTAAGACATCCGCTAACTCACGTTAGGTAGCGGGCTCCGTTAACGCTAATACCGTAAGAGCTGTCATACTTGTCAAATAACGTTACGGTATTGAAATTTGGACAGCACGAGAACTCTCTATTATTATCTAGGTATATTTTAAATAATAGTTGTATTCCTTTCACACCTAGGAGGAGCTCCGGAACAGCTCCGGGGCTTCACGCGCTTATTCCTTTCGAAAAGTGTTTGTTGCACCACGCATATGTTCCCTGCAAATCGGGGGCGACTAAGCACCGAAGCGAGTAGCTCGAGTGTTTCAAGCTCTTGAAAGGAATACAACTATTATATGACGGTTTTTTTTGGCCATTAAAGGTATGTTCTCATAAGCTGTGTTCCAACCGACATAAGAACCGTTCCAGAACCAGTAATTTCCAGTTGCTCACCTATTTTTCAATAAGTTGAACTTTTATTCTACTTGACAAATGAATTGACCGACTGGAAATTGCTGTTCTAGAACGGTTCTCATTTCGGTTGGAACAGAGCTATAGAAATCACAAACCAGTCAGAGCGTTTTTGATTGGTGCAATTCGCCAACGAGTTTTTTTTAACTATTTTCAACCAATAAAATTCGCTCTGACTGGTTTAAGATTTGACAGTAATGGTAAGAACATAATCTTTACATAAGCGTATTTTTCAATTTCCATACATACCAATCCAACTTTTTTGATCCGAACCGTTCTTTTAGTAACTTCGAAATGTATTGGGATTGGGACTCTGTAACGGATAGAGATCGTTATTTCCCATTGCTATGACACTATGACACTTGCTATCTTCTTCTCTCTTTCCGGAATCAATAGACAGGGAACGCCTATAGAGATAGAGATAAGAGAAAATGTTACAAGTCCCAGCTCTCGGCAAATTTCTCATTCGTCAGATTTGGGTAGATAATTTGAATATATTACATTTTTTTTCTCAAAGGCCAATTACAAATTAAAATGATTATCTGATGTCAGATTGCCTTGTTTGCAAGGGCTCAGTTCAGAAAATATCCAAAAGCATATACCTACAATGTGTCCAAGATAAGGAGGGGGCCAGTATGGGGATCTGGGAAACGGTAACAGATACGACGTCGCTTAAATTTAAGAAAAGTTGCGCAATTTTGTGCTCTTATGCCGGTTTTCCACCAAACCGACAAAACAAAAACACAACTTAAACTCAGACAAAACTCTAACTTTTCCCAATAATTATTTTCAAGATTAGCGTGTTTTGCGACAGTTAGAGTTTTTTGAGTTAATTTCGAGTTTCGAAATATGTTTTAAAACACAAACTCAACAGTCCGTTTGGTGGAAAACCGGCATTAAAAATGGGGGAAAAATGGCGCTTTGATGTTTCGAAAATTCCGAGTGCTAACGGAGATATCCGGAATTTTGCAAAATCGATTTTATTTTTTACTGAGCTTATTTGAAAAGATATTTCAAAATAAATGTCACTTCATCGTTGCCACCTTTTCTCCTCTACAAGATGCTACCATCAAATTTAAAATCTGACGTTTCGTCTTTGGGCCACCATCATCAACTTAATTTTTTCAAATACGGACGCTTTTTTTTATTTTAGATTTCATAAGCTTCTGTTGTCCCAAAACCAATGACGTATTGCACTTATTCAAATAATGTATATTATTGGCATTTGGCAATTTCCTTAAGAACTTAAGGCGTTTTCTCGCGTCCCAAATATTTCAAAACATTTTTCAAAACTGGTTCAAGTAATGTCACTATGACGTCATAATTTCTCGGCGCGAGAAAATGGTTTGAAAACGTGGATTGGATTGTATTTCGAAATGGTTTGAACCAATTTTGACGTGACGTCATGGGTTTATCGCGAGAATGTACTGTTTCAAAACAGTTTTGAACCAGTTTCGAAAAAGTGGACGCGAGAAAACGCCTCTAATGTTTTAGGGTGGGTATTATAAAACTGCTCTGACAGTTAACTTAAAGTAGTTTTATAATACCCGCCCTTAGAGAGAGACAGAGAAGAGAATTTTGGTAGGAAATAACTAAAAAGTAAAAAAAATATTTTTTTCGAATAAATTCGATACATCATAAGTTTTGGTGCATCAGTAGCTCTTAAAATCTGGAATAGAAAATCAAGGGCCGTATTTGAAAAAATGAAATTGGTGATGGTGGCCCAAAGACGAAGCGTCAGATTTCAAATTTGATGGTAGCATCTTGTAGAGGAGAAAAAGTGGCAACGATGAAGTTACATTTATTTTGAAATATCTTTTCAAATAGGCTCAGAAAAAAATAAAATCGATTTTGCAAAATTTCAGTAGGTAGCACTCGGAATTTTTAAAACATCGAAGCGCCATTTTGATGTGCACAAAATTGCGCAACTTTTCTTAAATTCAAGCGACGTCGTATCTCTTAGCGTTTCTAGATGAAAATTTTTGACACTTCCGAACTTACCTTGCATTGATAATCCGGCCCAAAGAAAACTTGTTTTTTGTTTCTTGGGTTATGCCCTGCCAACCAGCCGCCATTTTAGACAATCAGCACCTACAAATATTTCACAAGGCAAACAAACATCACAAAATAATCATGCACCATCCTCACTGGACCCTGCAGCATGTGAAGCAGACACACTATCCACAAGCATTTTGAGGACGGCCGCTTCAATCTTTATATTTTTCATGAAACTCATAATTAAATATTTTAATAACTTAAATCACAGACAATATTTTTAGGACTTAACAATAATTAGAATAAAAAACAATAAAATTGTCAAAGAAGCCAACGTGACAATAGCACACATTTTCCGATTTTTTCTCTGATAGGCGTCTGCTTTTTGGAGTTGCTTAAACCCTTCGAACACTTGCACTTGAGCCGTTTCTACATTGTAATCGATTCTATCCAGTACCGTACCCTGATCTGCCACCATTTGTGACAAATCCTTGAAAATCTCATTCAAATCGACTATGGATTTTACAATCGCGTTAACTTCTTTTTCGCGTTCCTGAGCGAACTTTGTGTTTTCTTCTTCGAGCATTAGCAGTTGTTGCTGCGACATTTTTTGAGAGTTTATAAAATCATTATCAATATCTTCATTATCATTGAAATCGTCAATATTTTCATTAAAATATATCTTGGAACGATCTTCTCGGCCTTGAATTTGTCTCAAATATCCATTCTGAGTGGCCCGAAAACTGCTAGAAAGCTCTTGGAGAGCATTCGCCAAAGATCTGTAAACATTCACAGTTAATCTTTGTTCTTTTATACTATTTTCCATGGAATGACTTTTGATTATTTGCAATAATCTATGTATTTCGTTAAACATTCTAGTAATTCCTTGGGTGCAATTTTCTATTAAAATTTCGTCTTCTGGTGTATCATCAAAAGTGGATCTGTGCAAATGTCTGCAAGAAACAAAAAGATATGTTACAGATGGCAACATTAATCCTTCCTAAAAAAAGGGAAATTCGAACCTGGAATGCAACAATTTCAGCTCTAAGATTTTCATTTTGAGTCTCGGCAAAATCATTTGTGCCTTTTCCAGATAATCTATCCAAACTGGGGGCATGCGATTGTCATTCCTATCCAATCCCTCTTCCAGATCCGTCAGCGACACTAGCTGCATCCTTTCTGACGAGCCCTATCAAATGTTGAGAAAATTAATTGTAAAATTTAAAATTACCTCAAGAGGAGGCTTTCGCCTTCTCTTCTAAAGTATAAAAATATGTAGAATTGTATTGTGACACTTACTTGATCTGGATAAATTTGTTTGCTACGAATGGCATTGTTTCTCATTAGCAAAAACACGTCCGTGAGGCTCCTTAGGGCCATTGTTGTAAATTAATTATAGATAAAGTATTTTATCCAAAAATAGGGGACAAGATATGTTATTTGATTTGTTTTGATCGCGAAATCATTACTAAATAGTAGCTCCCGGCAGTGTTGCCAGATGACCACAACCAATACAGTGCTGTAGAATCGTTTTTTGTACAGTGACTCTATTACCACGGTGGCGACAATTGCCGTCTTCTTTTTGATTGGTTCTTCAAAATAACATATATTCTATTCACATGGAAAACGCCGCCATTTTGTGCCCAACCTCTTGCTAACTTTAAATATGCATGAATATATAGGATTTAAATTCACATCCATCGTAAAAAATTGAAAACAACGTATCCGATGACTATAATTAGCCACATCAAATACGTTGTTTTCAATTTTTTATGTTGGATGTCCATTTAAATCCTATATATTCATATTTAAAAGTAGCAAAGAGGTTGGGCACAAAATGGCGGCGGGACCTCCATTGTCGCCACTGTATGTAAAGGTTTATTTATCCACTGTAGACTGTAGTTTTTTGCATGTTGTCATACAAAACCACTGATCAAAACAGACTTTACTAGTGTGACGTCATCGGAGGCTGGTGGCCCCCAAGGCTATAATACACACTACTAAGGATTGCTTATCGACTTCGTTCTGGTAATCGCGGCCATAATAGTTGTATTCCTTTCACACCTAGGAAGAGATCCGGAACAGCTCTAGGGCGTTACGCGCTTCCGAAAAGTGTTTCCTGCACCTGAGTGCTCAAGCCCGACTCGAACCATTCAAATGCATGAAAGCCAGCGCATCTGTTCCTTTCAAATCGGGGCGACTAAAGGGCCCCATACACTACGATGAAACACGACGGTTTTCACCGCCACGATGAAACACGTCGTTCTAAAACCGATGTGTTAATAGAAAAACACAACGGTTTTCTACAGGGCCCCACAGACTACGATAAAACACGACGGTTTTCATCGCTACGATGAAACACGTCGTTCCAAAACCGAAGTTTGTGGTAGAAAACCGTCGTGTTTCATCGACGGTTTAAAATTCAGCCCGAGCTTGATTTTTGGCACGACGGTTCAACATTTCGTACACACGAACGGTTTTCTACCACACACTTCGGTTTTGGAACGACGTGTTTCATCGTGGCGGTGAAAACCGTCGTGTTTCATCGTAGTGTATGGGGCCCTGTAGAAAACCGTCGTGTTTTTCTATTACACACTTCGGTTTTAGAACGACGTGTTTCATCGTGGCGGTGGAAACCGTCGTGTTTCATCGTAGTGTATGGGGACCTTAACATCGAAGCGAGTAGCTCTAGTGTTTTAAACACAAGTTTTTTCCGGGCTTTAATGCCGTGGTCGAGTAATATTTCTATCTAATGTTTGGTCTACTGCTGCGGTAGACATCTTCAGAGGTGGTGTGGTAGCGAAGTGTCGTTTCTCGCCTTGCCGTAGGGTATTTGCACCACAGATTCTGATTCTGCGGGGTTTTGCTTTATGTATACTTCAGCCGTTTTCTCACGTCCACTTTTTTGACATTGGTTCAAAACCAGGTTTGAAATGGGCAATCGTGTTTCCATTGACTGTTTCAAACCGGTTTTGAACCAATGTCAAAAAAGTGGACGCGAGAAAACGGCTTCGGTTTTACTCATAGCGTATTTCATTGGTAGAGCAAGTGCAACACTCGTTTTGCACTGACACTCAAAAAAACTGCACGCGAGCAGTCCCAATGAAACAATTATCATACTGCACCATCCCATATACGTCAAACCTCAAATATGGAATTTCATTAAAAAAATGATATTTGTGCTTATTATAAATAAATATTATAATTTAGCGATTTTTGACATTTTTGGTAGTAGATTCGCAGGCAATTATAAAAAACACAATAAAAAAATAAAATTTGGGACTGTTTTTTTATGAAAAACCATCAACCACCAATAACCTCAATTTCAAAAATAACAATAAACAACTGCACTGAGTGGACACGAGCATTTTAGCAGGTGACGCACCAACAGCACTCAGTGCATTGCTTTCCCAATGAAATACAAAAGTGCAGCGCGGACTCTGCCAATGGATCACGAATATTGCACCAGTGTTGCACGTTGCACTTGCTCTACGAATGAAATACGCTATTTGAGGTAGAATAAAAAAGGAGACGCTGTCACCATTTGAATAGTGCAATAGATAAGGGTACAGTGGCTAAATAAACCTTCTCATACAGTGACGACATAGAGGTCCCGCCGCCATCTTGTTCCCAACCTCTCGTTACTTTTAAATATTAATATATATAGGATTTAAATGGACATCTATCATAAAAAATTGAAATCGACGTATTTGCAGGGCCGGATTTAGGCACAGGCAACCGAGGCAACCACCTAGGGCGCCACAATTAGGGGCGCCAAATTGACAACCAATTTATTTCGAGTGAACAGGTTAAATTAAAAAAAAAAAATGTTCTATATCACAAGGATGATAGGGAGATAATAAAAGATCCAACAACATTTTCCGGTAATAGTTAATTTACGATTCACCACTGTCACCTGTCACCGCTCATCAAGGCACTTCCGATCCTCATCTTTGTCTCAAAACAGATCGAATGGACTTTCGCTATCAGAATTGAAAATGTTATAACCTTCGACCATTGAACACACTCGATCCCGATGGTTATAACATGTAAGATGGTGAAGATTATAGTAGGTCTGTTCTCACAGGAATCACAAACCAGCCAGAGCGTTTTTGCTTGGTGCAAATCTCCAACAACCAGTTTTATTATGACTATTTTCAACCAATGAAATTCCCTCTTGCTGGTTTGTGATTTCTGTGAGAATAAACCTATCAACGAACTCATCTCTGACTTTGCAAGACGTAAAGCCAGACTGGTTAATTTTTAGTGTTGATAATTTAATTAGTTTTGGAAAACTATTTCAGTTAATTTGGGAAATAAATATTATACGGGTGTCCGGAAAATAGCGTAAAAGCTCTCCACTACGTAGTAGGGGATCCTTTGAGTAACCCTGGAAAAATAATTTAAAAAATCCTTCTCAACCATTCTTGGAAATATGAAGAGGTAAATGTGGAAATTCAACTTCCTTATTTTTGATTTTTCTTTCAAATTGCAATATTTTGTACAAAGTGTTAGGTATCTTTTGTTGATTCATTACATATTAGTTTCAAAAAATTTGTTGTTATTGTTGTTAACCTTTAAAACGCATTATAGTCCCAGAGACGGCTGCAGAGAATCTGTCGTCATAAGGTGGACGAGCGAAAAAAATATGAATATTAGTTGAGGCACTAATTAAGAGAATACGCGAAGGTTGCCTGCGAAAATCCTGCCGAAACAGTGTTTTTCAATTTTTTTTATTAGATGAATAATTACAGTAACTGTCTTTTAGAGGTGGACATGAAATGAAATCACCATGTTGTAGGAGAGCATGAGACGAATTCAATCATATAAGGCTGCCTGCCCCCACCCTGCCGCAACACCCTGGCAGCCTGGCTAAGAAGGTCGGTTTTTTATCAATAACTATCGTCATCAGGTGGACGCATAAATTAGGTCTCAAATTAAAGGTCTCGATCGCCTCTTTCCATCAAACTAAGGCTGCCTGCTCAAATCCTGCCGAAAAGATGTGTTTGTGATTTCTGTGAGAACAGACCTCATGTAATAAGTAAACGTATGATATACGCTTCTAAAAAAATTAAGTTACTTTTTTTGTCTTACTCTCTATAAGCGATAGCCTAAAATTCATTGTTTATCATATTGATCTTTAACCAATTTGACAAATCAATTTGAGAAGGGGGGCGCCAGAATTGAACTTTGCCTCGGCATAAAATACCTATTGGACCGGCCCTGCGTATTTGATGACCATTATTAGGTCCATCAGATACGTTTTCTTCCATGATTTCTGATGGATGTTCACCTAAATCCCATATATTCATATTTAAAAGTAACAAGAGGTTGGGAACAAGATGGCGGCGTTTTCAATATAAATATATGGGATTTAAGAACCAATCAAAAATAAGACAGCAATTGTCGCCACTGTGGTAATAGAGTCACTGTAGATAAGGGTATCGGTAGACGTGGCTAAGGGTACCAACAATATGGCTGCTCAAACAGACGAACTAAATGGATTCTTTATAATTTTTATCTAAAAAGGTAAAAAATCTACATTACCCCAAGAAAGAAAAAGTTGCTACAGAAACTTTAACATACTGAAACAAGAGATCCTTCCAAGACCCAAAATAGAAATGCGCTTCAAAAATGTTTCCCATTTAAAACATCTTCGGATGGAAAATGCGGCCCTGACGCGTTGTTATGACAAAAGTATGACCGACTCCAGACACAATAGCACGAACAATATGGCGGAAGTAGGGAGACTTTTTTCTCGTCATTTCGCCTCCCTATTATTCTACCTCAATGGTTTTACTACATTAACTACCAGGGCCGGATTTAGGCACAGGCAACCGAGGCAACCGCATAGGGCGCCACGATGAGGGGCGCCAAATTGCAAACAAATTTATTTCGAGTGAATAAGTTAATTGAAAAACATGTTTTATGCCACAAGGATATGGGAGATTAAAAGATCCAACAACATTGTCCGATAATGGTTAATTTACGTGTCACCATTGTCACCTGTCACCGCTCATCAAGGCACTTTTGATTTTGGCTCTAGGAATTGGAAATGTTATAACCACACTCCGATTGGCTTGAAATTTCTGTGAGAACAGACCTCATGTAATAATTTAACATGATATACAGGGTGAGTTACTAAGCGCGCGGTGGTCCATATCGACCATATCTCCTATAATAACAGAGACCGGAGAAAAAGCTAGATACAAAACTTGTAGATAAACATAAGTACTACATTCCTAAATTGTTTTCCAGTATACAGGGTGGCCCAATAACTAGTAGTGACACAAAGTTATGTTTTTTTAAATGACTCCCCCTGTATATTATGACATTTCTGGATTCTGCGAAAAATCCAAGACATATTTCATGTGTAATGTCATATACCTATCTTCAACTCTGTTTCAGAAATATTGTCAATATTCAATCAAATTATAAAAAGAATTCATTAAGCAGCATATGAAAACGTCTAAATATTGAAATTGGTGGTTGCTA